ACTTAAGCAACTCAAATCTATGGCGTTCTTGACAGACTACACCAATTTTGGCTGCAGACTGGCACATGCATTTTCCACTCAATAGTGTTTACATTGCTCGTGAAACATAGCTCCATTGACAGTCAGGTTGGGTTGATTTTTCCGCCGCGTCATACTCCCACGAATTCAGAGGCTCTTTCTCATGTTATGAATTAGTCACACCGTGCTCGCTGGTCACAGTTGTTGATTTGACCATAAACGTCGGCGTGTCTGTCTGTCGGCGTGAGCCAAGGCTGATATAAACGAGTCACTATTTGCTTACAATGTATGTACTATGAAGGACGGAGGGTTATCGGTCGGAGTTAGATTTTCTAGAGACTTTCCACAGTAACCCTGATTGATTATCGTTCCCCGGCACCTCGTTCCCAACTCTTCACGTTTTGTTTTTGCGGTTTCACAAAGAGTGCTACAGATAAAATTGATGTCTTACATACCCGACCATTGGCTCAAGTTAGATCTTTCGGCCTCAATCGCATGCTTATTGATCAGTGATCAGGCTTGGTCAGACCGCTGAACTGTGATATCACGCACATACCTCTGCACTGTTGATAGTTGCTGTAAACTGTCAACGCATGAAATGATAGAAAATCTTTTACAAACGCCAGTTCTATATTGGGGTTAAAATGGTATCCTATTGAAATTTCTAAATATCTGTTGTCCGCATGACTTTGTACAGCCCACAGCTAAAGTAATGTGGGGATCTACCAATCTCAACAGATGGCTTCTTTGACTGACGAATTTTAAATATCGGGTGATGAGAGGAAGACAACAAAAGATGAGCTTGCAGCTGCAAGGATTATGGTACTTTTAAGCTACACTCTCAATTACATGGTAGTCTGCCAAAGAGTTCCTAAGGCACATATACCAAGTTTAACCACTTCTGAAACATTACTTTACTTCTGAAACATTACATTACTTTAGCGGTAGCCTGAACGTAAGCGCCTCATTTGGTCATCATTGCCAGAGCAGCGATCACAGAGAAGAAAGATAGGTATCAGTCGCCTGGCCGACAGCCTCAGGCCCGCGGTCATGGATGCACCGACTGCGCAAGTTCACATCATAACGATCAGCGCTAAAAAAAAAATAGCGCACAGTGGTCTAATTCGTGACGATCAGCGCGGTAAAAAATGTCCAATTATGACAAAGATTGACGCTTAAAAACGCACTATACTCCAATAGAGAGTTGTGAGAAGAATGAATGACTGGATCGGTTGGATCAAAGTGTCTGTTAGACGTGACGACACAAATAAACTCATAGTCATTGAAGGTTGTAGTGCTGCAGTCAATATAAGGTGTCTATTTGCATGGAAGCATTGAGCTGCATTTTGTTAAAAATGCACTGGTGTCAAGGGTGAGTGTAATACAAATGTCTTTGGCATTAACCCTCGCCCGCACAGGGGGGGGGGGTTGCCACCCCCCCAGGCAGTCTTTCTGCTCTGCACTCAACATTTTTAGAGCTAAAAGGCTGATTTTTCGTATGGCTGCTCGTCTATTCTTTCTTGATGTCCACTAAAAATTTCAAGTTTCTGTGATTTTTGGTTTCGGAGATATGACCTTGTTTTTCAGGTCATGTCATGACCCAAATGGCCAATTCTCAACATCTTGCGTTTGCCATGGGCCTTGTGAGCTTTTGACACCCTGATTTCGGCCTTTTTTGCCAGTCTTACCTCCCACCTATCATGGAACATGTTGTTCGACGATGTACAGGGGTCAAGGTCAGGGTCAAGGTCAACCTAGGTCATCTAAGATAATTGCGTTTTAGGCAAGCTGAATTTACTTTTTGTGAAGTTTTTTGACTGCCTTTTTGGTAAAAGCTTCTCAGATCATGATTTCATGTGATATGGACCCAAAAACAATCGGTGCACACATCAGTATACACACAGACACACACAGACATACAAACACATATAATTGACCTTGACCTAACTTGACCTGAAATGACCTCAGCAGCAAAATTCTGGTCGGATAGTGTGACAAAGAGGTTCTAGCTGGCTTGGCACCAGAAAACAGCATCGTCATCGGTATTTGATAAGCAGCGCACTTGATATCCAACGGTGACCCAAAACAGCAACATTTTTTAGTTTGACCTGACCTGGAGGCTGGAAGGTCAATGACTGACCTGAGAAGGTAAAACTGGGTATCATTGGATTCGTCTCTTCCCAAAGAATCTTTTTGGTCTTTACTGCTAAGCTCTATCTCCAACAGGAACGAAATGGCGCGGGGGGGTGGCAACCCCCCCCCCCCATGTGCGTTCTAGGATGGGAAAATGGCATGTGCGGGCGAGGGTTAATAGATATGTAATTACCTCTGATATGGATTAGGGCGTTATTTCAAACCTCACCGGAGCTTTTTTTACACACGGGGTCGAGATAACGTGATGAATACACCGTCCAATGTGGGAAATGAAATCGTGAGAAAAACGCGTTTTTTTTTTGTTTATGTGCTCTGTTGTGTTACGGGCCCTTTTGAGCCATCGAGACTATTGCAGAGCCGAGAGGATGATAAGAATTGAGGGAGACATTGGTCTGGACAGGCACCCTAGAGAGTCGCCGGGGCTGAGCCCGTCCAAGTGGACAGGCCGGCTACGGGTATGTTCCCATAAGAGCTGCGGTGCGCTCCAAAGCTCCAAAATTTGCCTTTCTCCGAAGGCTCAGTTTGACCAAAAACACTGTTTTGATCGCTCTTGTGAACAGTGATGTGAGCAATGAGCATACGCTCTAGGTATAGGGCTGTGTGGAATCGGGCACTGTTGGCAGTGATAACCCGGCAGTTGCTGGAGTATTTCGCCACCCACCGTTTGCTGGGAGGGGGGGGGGCGTTAAACGCCCCCAGCCGATAACTCGAGAACCAATAGGCGCAGCGAAACGCACGAGGCGACAAACGAAAGAAAGCGACGAGACGCTTCAGATGAGTATTTTAAAGTTGAATTTTGAGGTCACAGGTCGGGTCAAGGTCAAGTCAAACACCTGAAATCGGGCTTTCAGTAGCATGGACTTCAGGACTTCGCAATGGGCGCCTCTCGTCATAAACTCTGTCAAAACGGTGCACAATCCATCATATAAGGCCTACAAGAGTGTCAGCTCCATGTAGGGGTCAGTCAAGCATAGGTCAGGGTCAAGGTCAGGTCAACCAGGTAGGCACATATCCCCGAAAATCAAAACTGATATTCGCAGCCTGTGACACATGTTTTATGGGTAATTTGGGGCGAAGAACACGATGGTGACATTCATTTTATCATATGTGTACGCGTTTGGCTCAAAAAGCTCAATTTAAGAAATTCATGTATCATGGTCGTGAAGTAGTCACGAGAAATTGCCAAGATTCAGTTCAAGATTTTGGAAAATGCGGAACGATAATCAATAATCGAAGATAGGCATTTGATTGTTCATAGTATTTGCAGTCTAATGGCGTTTACAGAATCTCTGTATGTCTATTCTGTGGTTTTATATGATTTTTTTTTTCAACATATGCCGTTTTTGGTCGAAAACTCAGAAATCATGACGTCACTAAAACCTCGATGTCTCAAAAATTTTCCGACTGATTTTTTTGAAACTTTGTCACAATAACCTTCAATCAATTCCCTACAGGTACCCAGAATTTGGCGCGCCTGCGGCGCGCCGTTTTTATGCTATGGCCCGGCGAAAAAAGTGGGGGCGTTTAACGCCCCCCCCCCAGCAACTCGCGGGTTAAAGGGACCCTCCCACCTTAACATTAGATTTGAGTTGAGATAGCCAAAATGGGGTCCCTGGCTCACAATTACCGGTTTCGGCACTCACAACATCGAGAAATGCCTTAAATCGGAATTATTGAATTTCAAAATTGCAGCATTTTGATTCAGAGGGGCTAATGCTTAGGAATACCCCTCTGAATGTGTGACGTCAGCGCAAATATCTAACGATTTTTAAATGTTTGACTAAAACGTTTTGTAGCACGCAGTGGTATATGCTATTTGCGCGCAACATCTGCCGCAAACGCCGCACTTCTAAAATAAAGTCGCTAGAAACAGCGGAGATCCCAAAAAAGTAAACAAAAGTAAAAGTCTTATATCTTGAAAACCGGTGAATATTTTTCGGTGAAATTTGGTAGACATTCGTTTTCGTTCTTTCTGAACCGAGCGACATCACTTTCATGCCAATTCATAAACTTTTTTGAAGGTGGGAGGGTCCCTTTAAGTGGTCTGTCTCAGTTACAATTGGACCATGAGTCCGTAAATACAGTTTTCTCTCTCTCTCTCTCTCTCTCTCTCTCTCTATCTCTCTCTCTCTCTCTCTCTCTCTCTCTCTCTCTCTCTCTCTCTCTCTCTCTCTCTCTCTCTCTCTCTCTCTCTCTCTCTCTCTCTCTCTCTCTCTCTCCTCTCCTCTCTCTCTCTCTCTCTCTCTCCTCTCTCTCTCTCTCTCTCTCTCTCTCTCTCTCTCTCTCTCTCTCTCTCTCTCTCTCTCTCACCTCTCACTCTCTCAAAGGGAGCCGCCTGCATGGGATAAAGCTGCCTGTCCAGCCTGGACCAAGGCTTGCGACGTGGAGGAGAAATATTTGTATGTACTGAGGATGGAAACGACGGAGACAATGTCTCTCTGTCTTTGACAATGTCTCAGATTGACTTGTGAGGTTCGAATATTCGGACGTTTTGAGAGGAAGCGTCCCATTTTAACCACCCACTTTTGAGCGCCTCAGATCACTGGCTTTGTGATCTGTAAACCCCCTATAATGTTAGCGAAATGTCTCGCTAAACCACCTTCATGGCGAGGAAATATCTCACTAAACCACCCTCATGGCAGGGAAATGTCTCGCTAAACCGCACAATGTGTGCAACTGTGCATAGACGTTTCCCCCGGCTGCATGAGCGGCCGGTGCATCATGCCGTCCTCCGGCCCCGCCCGGCCGGCCCGCCAGCCGTCAGGGGCGGAGCCGCCGGCTCACGGTCGAGGTCACGGCCCGTTCACGGGTATATAGACGGGGACTCGGTCGGACCGATAGCACACACGGCCAGACCGTCCGACAACAGACTCCGACCAAAGAGACAGCATGGCGTTCAGATTTGTGGTGAGTAGAAGTGTAGAAGTCGAATATGTGCGTTGTGCGCTACATTGTATGTAAGGTGCAAGGAGGATAAGATTTACAATCCCACAAATTTTTCTTAAATCCATACCAGCATGTTGTCTCCCCTTAGCTTCTTAGAATTCAGATAGAAAGATAAAATCAATATGAAATAGATTTTTAACACATGCATGCCATTTATCATGCTTAGAGTATTCCCTTAAATCTTATAATTTACCACGCAAAAAAAGACAATGCTTGTAACTGGCTCAGCCAAAAACTCAGACGGATTTTTTCCTTATTCCAAATTTCTATTTTAGATTTACACATTGTTTGTCAGCATCCCATGTGACCGTCTATGCCTTAAATCCCCTCTTTACCTCCGTTCGTTTTATTTTATTTTCGCCATTTTCTCTGGATGTCTCCCCACCTTTCCCTTCGTTCGTTTATCTCCTTGCTCATATTTCATACTTGAAGTTTTTCTTTCTGCCCTTATTTCTCCCGTTATCCTGCGTTCTGTTCTCGCGTTTTTCTGCGTCTGTCTCTCCCGTGTCATCTCTCCCGTTATCCCCGCTGCGTCTCTCCTGCATACTCCGTCCCATATCTCCCGTTTACCCCGTATCGTCTCCCCCATCTAACCGCCGCCGTGTTCTCGCAGCTGGCTGCCGCGGTGGCGGCCGTCGCCTCTAGCGCGGCTCCCCCGAGCTATCACTCCACCACTTACGCCCCGCCGGCGTACGGGCCGACGCACGCGCCCAGCTACTCCCCGGCGCCCACCTACGAGAGCTACCAGGTTAGTACGCCGGTAGGAGGGATACTGAAGTAGTAAGAGGATAGTATAGAGATAAGGCCAGGGTAGTTTGAGCTACCAGGTTAGTACGCCGGTAGTAGGGATACTGGAGTAGTAAGAGGATAGTATAGAGATAAGGTCAGGGTAGTTTGAGCTACCAGGTTAGTACGAAGGTAGTAGAGCTACTAGGTTATTACGGGGTAGTATGAGCTACCAGAGTAGTACGGGGGTAGTAGAGACATAAGGCCAGAGTAGTTTGAACTACCGGGTCAGTACAAGGATAGCGAAGCTACCAGGGTAGTATAAAACGAGTGCAGATGCTAGGTTGATGCAAGTTTAGTCAGATATCTTCTTTTCCTCTTTGCATTTTACACATAAGCTTCATTAATTTCTTTTCCGAGCATTTACATTGGTTCTCCATGAAAGTGATCTTAGATAAATATATTATCCTTTGACGTCACTTAAAAACAACACTTGTACCATTTCAGTATCAGTACCAGCCTCAGCCATCTTATGGACACCAGCCGGCCTACGGACATCAGCAGCCTGCTTACGGCCACCAGCAGCCTGCCTACGGACACCAGCCTGCCTACCCTGCATGTCCTCACTACCCTGAGGACCCGGCCTGCAGCAAGAACAGCACCGACCCCTGGTGTCTCGAGGACTCCGAGTACCCCGAGTAAGTACTCACAGAAACACCGACCCCTGGTGTCTCGAGGACTCCGAGTATCCCGAGTAAATGCCCACAGAAACACCGACCCCTGGTGTCTCGAGAGTACTCCGAGTACCCCGAGTAAGTACTGACAAGAACAATAATCGTTAAGTATTTTTTAGCATAAACAATGTTTTGCTAGTTCATGAATAAATGAAAATAAAAGTGTAAAGATTCGTCATCGTTGTGCAATTTCTTTCCGGTACGAACATTATGAAAATCAATTTCAAAACCATTTTCCGTTCCTCTATTTCAGGTACGAGATCAAGCACGCCATCAGCTACAACAAACACAAGGTGCTGGAGCTGTACGCCGACGTGGCTGACCTCAACACCGAAAACTCGGTCGAGAGGTGAGAATGAAAGTGTCGAGCTGTTGTTCTCACCGAAAATGAAAACTACCTTTAAACTTAGTTACAAATATAGCTAACTAATTTCCCCAGTCAATAAATGTTCCGACGTTGAGTGTTTTTTATCACCTGGCATCAACACACTTTTTCCAATAAAATCAAAGTAATTTCTGATCGCATGTCTTGTCAGACTGACTGAGATTGAGGAGGAGACGTACCTGTGTCCTTCCGAGGTGGGCTACGTCCGTCCTCTGAGGGCCGTCAACACCGACGGCAAGTGGAGGGTCATCGTCAACAACATCAAGGTAAACTACAACGATAAGGATTTGGATATTATTACCTCGTCATAATTAAATTATTCCCTGAACGGATTATCCAGAAAATAAAATTTTAAACATCTAAAGAGCTAGCTAAATAAGTAAACAATGATGTCCCTACCATCTACTGTAATCCAAATGAATATCAAGTTCCCGCAGTGACCGCTAGATGTCTCTGCAGGTCGACTATGAGACGTTCACCCAGACGACGCGCATCGAGAAGTGTCTGTCGGCCGGAGAGGCCTGTCCGCTGGTGCCGCAGTGCTACGAGTCCAGCTGCCTCCAGAAGTCCGTCTACCACAGGTCAGCACTGCGAAAAATCGCTTAACTTCCTTGGACCATTCGCATTTTCTAACAAAATACGTCACAAAACTAACAATTCAATCCAGAACAGACCACGTTTCATTGAAGTTTCATTAGGTACCTACATTTCAATTGAATTGATAAGTGACCACGTTACCATGCGTACTCGTGATCCGGATTACGAAATTTATATACCATATTTTTTATTTTTTAGGAACTTTTCATCATCTTTATGCTTTATTTTCATTTCATATTGCGTCTAAGTATGCTACATTATCTAATCCACTTTTACCTAGTACCCGGATCGCAGGTGCCCATTGAAAGCGGGTCATTAAACATTTCAAACTATACCAATTATTTTATTTTTTCCTCGTCATAAGAGCTTACTTGATGACAAAATTTGTGTTTTTTTTCTCCCTTTCCAGGTTCCTGGTGTACGACCCGTGCGACCAGTACTTCCCCTTCGCCATCGAGACCTTCCAGCTTCCCGCCTCGTGCGCCTGCTCCCTGGGAGCTTACGAAATCTCCCACTAGATGGCAGCAGCGATACAGGCCTCTCGATAACGCAATATCGACTGTAGGCACTGTCAATGACTCCATGGTGATTGCATTGTAACTTATTTCGAGAGCTTTTGTATTTATTATCGGAAGATGCTTGTAGTAATGTGTGGCGGTGAGCATGCTAGCTAGGAGCTGTATTTTTATAGTTCTTGGTGTGAGTTGGTGTTTTGATCTCGTGCTGGCGGCGCGGCGGCAGTCTCTGGGGGGAGATTTTTACCATCTGCGACTGGCCATGCAGTTTTACGGAACAACGAACTCGACTGAGATGTATTATTGCTAATTATTTACGAATGCACGTGTTTCTGTGATGGTTTTTATCTGTGATGGGGACTTGTCAATACAAAATGGACCAACTTCATTTCAGTTGTCTTTTGCATTTTTTTTAATGGCTGTAACTATCATGGATGAGATAATACTGGATTGGTGTCTTGCAGTTTTCGGTGACATTGAGCTCGGGCCTGCCATCTGGCTTAGGCTCCTAGCTCACGATAATTCTCTCGCTAGATGGCAGGCCTGATTCAAATGTCGCTGATCCCTGTGTTAATTTCCACGAGACGCCAATCCAATATCACCTCATCCATGACCGTATTGAAAGTTTACACCAAGACCCTGAAACATATAAAACATAATACAGGTTTAGGCCTGCAAAATGATCATGCCGCTTCTACTAGTGATGTCAATTACGGAAAGTCGGAATAGGTACCGATACCAAACCAAATACCAACCAAAACCACGGGAAAATACCGAAACCAAACCAACTTGGGGAAAATGAGGGAAATACCAACTTATTACCGATTTCTTAGCCTCTTATACATAGTGAGGGTTTACCAACAAAATACCTACCAAACACATTGCGATTGAAATACCAAATACCAAGTTGGTATCGGTTTGGTATCGGTATACCAAAAAGTTGGTATCCGATTGACATCTCTAGCTCTACTATACATTGCAGAAAAAGTGATAATCATTTTCAAAAACACGCAATAGGAAAGGCATAAGTGTTCGCATCTAGAGTGGTTTTATAATAACTTATCATGACCATTTATATCAAATTTGAAATTGCACAAATGACAATCATAGCACCTAATTGGTATTCATGCTGCGTGAATGCAATCACAATTCATTATAGGGCTATACATGATGGCCAATCATGTCTGATGTCCACAGTACAAATCTACGATTTAACCCGCGAGTTGCTGGGGGGGGGGCATTAAACGCCTTCACTTTTTCGCCGGGCCATAGCATAAAAACGGCGCGCCGCAGGTGCGCCAAATTTTGGGTACCTGTAGAAAATTAATTGAAGTTTATTGTGACAAAGTTTCAAAAAAATCAGTCGGAAAATTTTGAGATATCGAGGTTTTAGTGACGTCATGATTTCTGAGTTTACACCAAAAAACGGCATATGTTAAAAAAATCATATAAAATCACAAAATAGACATACAGACAGACCGTAAACGCCATTAGACTGCCAATACCATGACCAATCAAATAGCTATCTTCGATTATTGATTATTGTTCTGCATTTTCCAAAATCTTGAACTGAATCTTGGCAATTTCGCGTGACTACTTCACGACCATGATACATGCATTTATTAAATTGAACTTTTTGAACCAAACACGTACACATATGATAAAATGAATGTCACCATCGTGTTCTACGCCCAAAATTACCCCAAAAACATGTGTCACAGGCTGCGAATATCAGTTTTGATTTTCGGGGATATGCGCCCCGGTTGACCTGACCTTGAACTGACCTATGCTTGACTGACCCCTACATGGAACTGACACTCTTGTAGGCCTTATATGAAGGATTGTGCACCGTTTTGACAGAGTTTATGACGAGAGGCGCCCATTGCGAAGTCCTGAAGTCCATGCTACTGAAAGCCCGATTTCAGGTGTTTGACCTGACCTTGACGACCTGTGACCTCAAAATTCAACTTTAAAGTACTCATCTGAAGCGTCTCGTCGCGCTCTTTCGTCGGCCGCCTCGTGCGTTTCGCTGCGCCTATTGGTTCTCGAGTTATCGGCTGGGAGCGTTTAACGCCCCCCCCCCCCCCCCCCCAGCAAACGGTGGGTGGCGAAATACCCCAGCAACTGCCGGGTTAATCCAGTCACACTCTGGACTGCAATGTCTACTTTGGCCCACTAATTTAGACAGAATAAAACATGAGTAAAGGCGATATACGTAGAGGAGTCACCATCTGTTGACCACTTAGACACCCAGCATTATCGAAAGTGACTCAAGCTATGACGCAATCAAACTCACCGAATTCGTCACCACGGCGTCGAATACGACTCACCATCTGTCTGCCACCTTCTCGCATACAGCACCAATAACTACCTACCGGCAGCAGATGGTACGGGACGATGCATATGTGACGCGCTGACGGCGGTAGTGGCGCGCTGACGGCGGTAGTGGCGCGCTGGCGGCGATATGTGGCGCGCCAGACGGTGGATTTGGTGGTCAGCTGGTCACCCATCAGTCAGAATGGTATAACCGGGATGACGTAACTGGGATGGGGTGGCACTGGTGAACACACAGGCATAGATGAGCGTACACGAGGCACAGAGGTATAGATGAGCGGACACCAGACAAACAGGCATAGATGATCAGGCACCAGACAAACAGGCATAGATGAGGGGACGCTAAACAAACATGCCCTACATGTACACGGTACGGTGGAAGTGGATACCTGGAAACCAAGACGCATTGCAGAAGCACAGCTGTATAAATGTGCTTGAATCCAAACCATTTTTGAAAAAGGAACTAGGTATAGTTGTGCACAAAGATAGCAATGTTGGATCCAGATTCCAGAAAACAGTTAAAGGGACTATCCCACCTTTAACATGGGGTTTGAGTTGAGATAGCCAAGTTTGCGGCGAGGTTCAGAAACCACTATCTATCTAGGTTGCAACCCCCGCGGCCTCTTGGTGTTGAAGAAATTCGTTCCCTTCATTTGAAAATGGGCCTTGTACAAGGCCCTATCTTCAATATGGAGCGACCGTTAGTGTGACGTCACCTCGTTTAGTCATTCTGATTTAAATCGGTTTGTTCGTTAAAAAATCGCTTAAAACTTGGTCTGAACTTTGTTCTGGTGCCTACAGAGTAAAAAGAATCAGCTTTATGACAGTAATGTGGCCTGGGGAAGGAGGTAATTTTGGGCTGTGACGTCACATATTTGAAAGTTTATGTTTGGAATATGGGAAGCCTAAGATGTTTAATGAAAAATAAATGCCAGAACCGTGTTCCTGGTCATCCAATCTATAAAGTCGGGCATAATTTAACTGGTTTTAACAACATTTTAGAAGGTGGGATAGTCCCTTTAACTCAACCGGTCACACCCCTAGCTCTTGTATCTGCATTTGTATTGTATGTGCATTCAAAAGCGATACACATTACACATCCTCAATGTGCAGCCTTTAATAAAATAATAAAATCGTGTCAAATGAAAAGCAAAAAGAATATATTATGGCAGGTAAGCACTCAATATGTAGTTTCACATATTCCGCACATTTTGCGTATCTTGGCTCGCTCTAACAATCTCTCACTTCCATCGTTCTCAATTTGTACGGCATTTATTTCTGTCGCGCTATTTACCAATGGGTATGTGAAATCGAGCCTCCAATGTAATGCACCTGTCCACCGTTGAAGGTGTTTGATACCGCGAGCCCGCATCATTTTGACGCGAATCTGCCAAAAATAATGGTAAATGCCTGGTGTGAGACACGTAAGTATACGAGTATATCTCATAAAATCCCGGTGTGGAAAATTTGACGTAAAATACAATTAGTCAACGTTTCCATATTTTTATAGTGTATATACTTTACCAAAATAGTTTTCATATAATCAGTTGTCTAAAGACATAAGATAACTTAGGTACCTACCATAGACTAGACTGGCAAACGTAAACTGACTAATTTAGAGTCGTCAGAGACTCACAGCAGAGTTCCTACGATTCACATAAAAGATCATCGTTTTGCTGTCATTAAAAACTGAAATACCTAACGTGTCACCTGATATTTCACAGTTCTGTGATCATTAGACTCGCAATTAGATATATGACCTTACATCATCTCCTCCATTGTAATAACGGAGCAGTAAACTAGGTATAGTTCGTTTTTTTTCTAAGTTCGACCCTCACTGTAAACGTCTCTTTGAACAAAGCACGAGAATTGCTAGCTGAATTGCTGAGAAAACTGTTTGGCGCACATTGATTTAACCCTATTCCTGGCGGGCTCCGCCGGGACAAGAAACTGGCGGGGGGGCCGATTCGGCCCCCCCCCCCCCTGAGATCTCGAGAACGAAGCAAGATAGCGACAAGCGGTAAACGGCATCGGATACGCACGGCCAAGATCTACAATTTTTACAAAGGTCATTTTCAGGTCAGGTCAAAGATGACGTCACAGGGGTCGAAAAAGTCAAAATGGCGGCGCTAGATATGGAGAGAGTTTTTCTCGAATAACTTTCGAATTAGTCAAGATAGGAACAAACTAAGGGCATCATCGTGATCCTCTCGTCAATCCGCATCGAATGATATATATGTTGACCTCGAAAGGTCAAGGTCAAAGGTTGACCTCAGGTCACGTGACCTCGAGGTCATCATGTATATCATTCGATGCGTCTTGACGAGCTGAACACAATGAGACCATCCACGCGTCTGTATCTTGTTCCTGTACGGAGTTATTGGCCAAAAACCTTTGGTGACCTTTGATGACGTCACATGACCTCACAGCTGCCCAACAGCAAAACAGACCTCAAGGTAGTGAAGGTTGATCGTATATGAAGTCATGTATGGTATATGGGGCCATTCCGACCCGTTTTAGTGGTAAAAACAGGGAGTTGATTTTTCCCCCATTGACTTATAATGGGGAGGTCGCGAAATTGACCTGACCTTAGGTCACCGATATCAAAATTCCGAGATATACAAATTGCACATACTGGTACCCTAACTAAACCCTGAAGAGAAGAAATTGATCGGTCAAAAACTCTAGCTCTGGCGTGATTGCAAACTTTTCTGAGGTAGCGTCACCAAACCGCCTCTGGTGACCTGACCTGAGGTCAGATCAACTCAAAATTTTCAGACATGTTGCGTAGAAGCCTTTTAGGAAAATTCAGAAAATTTGAGCTTCCTAGCTCAACGCGTTTGGGAGAAATAACCAAAAAACCTCAGGGGGGCTCCTGAGGCCCCCCCCCCCCGCCAGGAATAGGGTTAACAGACGATCAACTTTTATCAAAATTATTTCTACCTGGCTCCTATTTTCCAGACTCTCAGCTCGTATTTATCTGTATCTACAACTCCACAGGTATATACGACTTGACAGGAATTATAATTGAACTAATTAATACATCGCACGGCGTTTTACATCACGGTACATCATCGGTGCTCAAAACTTATTTGGAAATATTACTGATATCTCTAATACGCTGTGCGCTAGCTAGTTTTCTCAGTAATTCAGCTAGCAATTCTCGTGCTGTGTTCAAAAAGATGTTTACAGTGAGGGTCGTACTTAAAAAACGAACTATAGTAAACTCCATTCGAAGTAACGATTTCAACGTTCCTCTTACGTCAGTTAGGCTTTGGTATAGGCACACTCCTAGCTAAAGATCATTTTATTTTCGCCATTTTTCATGCCATGAACGTCAGCACTAGACATCAAAGCATATCCTCACTTTCAAAACACTTGAACGAGAACACATGCTCTTCTTACACCATCACACCTCCATTTTAGGTCCTAGCGTAACTAACTAATAGCGTCTTGCCCCAACTACAAATCCAGTCTCTCGTTTGCCATATGGTCTCATCTCGGTCCAAACGATACGCATCAGACCGTGTGTGTAATTAAGCTCTAATTTGGCTGAGAAATGCTCCAGTGACGTAATATGACACCGGGTGGGCTGAGTGGCCTGAAAGGACAGGACAGCACAGTGCCTATGACAAATGTGGTCGGCGAATGCTCAGTGCTTACATAGTCAACGCGGGACAATATTTACTGTTCTTTGAGATGCTATGCAATATGCTGCAAGTGCATAAGTATGGAAGTAGTGATAACATATAATGAAGTCACCTTTGAAAGTGTATGACATCTGCTCGACGACAAGGCATGTGTCGACTAGTTGACTAGAAAGCTGGTGGACCTTTACTCATAGCACCATTGTCCAATGTCCATGCAGTCTAGAAAATCCCAGTGTCAGATCAATGAGCTCAGTCGCCCAATGGATCCCGCGACATAGCTATATAGTTAATATCTAGTCATGATCTTGGTTGGTTCCGTGTGGAAAATCTATTTGGGGTCTATTAGGATCTAATCGATAGCTCTTTTACAGACCTTTCTGAGTAGGTACTGTTCTGAGATTTGACCTCAGGTCAGCGATTTAGCCTCCTGAGGGCAAAAATTATAAAAGTAGTTTGCCATAAACAATATGTCCCAGTACAATAGCCCTCGCGGGCCCGGGGGGGGGGCGTTTTTCGCCCCCCCTGGCGAATATTTGCGATAGCTCCCGAACGCTTAGGGATAGGAAAGCGAAACTTTCAGTACCTTTTCTCCCATCAATTTGACATCTTCTGAAGTAAAAAATTTGGACCCAGCCCCCTTGATGACGTCACAAGGTCCATTTTTCTAGACCCCTGCACGGCAAACTTCGGCGTCACAGACGCAAACTTCAAATAGCTGCTAAAAATAGAGTTTTAGAGATAAAGACAAATTACGAGCACGGTTGTGTAGCGTTTGACCTAGAGAAAAATAGAAAAATAGTTTTGGTGACCTGAGGTCAGAGGTCAGGTCAACGACCCCGAAATGTGGTTTTAGTTTTTACGCAAATAACTTCGACAAAAATGGTCCTAGAGCTACGGCAGTGGTACCATCGCATTCGCCTTGTCAAGCCGCGTCGAATGATATATATTTTGTTCGGAAAAGGTCAAGTTTTATGTTGACCTCATGTGACCTCGAATGACCTCTGGTTGACCTTGACACATGAAAGGTCGGTTATGATGGATTTGTACCCGCTGATCACGAATCTGGCATCTATTTTCCTCTAAGCCTTCATTTAGAGCGTCCGGATGGCAAAATTGTCTTATTTATTATTACTAACTTGAATTAGTGAAATAGCCTCTAGCAGGGATACTCTTCAGTGACCTTGAACTTTGAGCAGCCTTGTATAGTAAGAGGAACCACAAATAGGGAACTGATAAGCCTCAAAACATTTTAAAAACATCTTGAAAGTTAGCACGCAAGATGTGCGAAAAAGTGCAAAGTTTGAGGTCAATTTTGAGCGTGACCTTGACCTTGACCTTTGATTTTGAGCACATTTTCGGAATCCTCAGATTCTCTTCTTTCGTTTGACACCCAATTTTGCCGGTTTGATGCCGCCTGCCGTCCTCTAGAAGGCTTACTTTGAGATCACTACACATGTGCCGGTTTTTGCCTTTGACCTTGACCTCTGACCTTGAAAATTGACCTGAGGTCAAAAATTTTAGGTGCTTTAGAATCGTCTCGTAAGGACCTTTCGTTTGGTATCGCTTTTGTTTCCGTAGCTTCCTTATTACGGAGTTAGACAGGGGGGGCGAAAAACGCCCCCCCCGGGCTGCGGTGGTTGGGATTACCCCCCGGGCCCAGCCGGGATAGGTAACTCAATTTTTAAAGTTATCAAATTGACCTTTAAAGGTCATATTAGAAAAAAAAATTATAGTATGTTTAACCCGCGCACCGACGGGGGGGGCGGATATCCGCCCCCCCCCCCTGAGGTTTTTCGCGAATAGCGGGAAAACCGCGGCGAAATTTGGTATGACTATTCCCTTATCAATTTTACACATGGTGTGCAAGTTTGAACCTCCTACCTTTCAAGGTCAGGTCACCAGGTCACTTTGAATGACCCAACCTCAAGTCACTTTTTTGCAACTTTGTCACCGTGCCAGAGCTACAGTAGATGTCGGAGGCCTTTGAAAGTCGCAGGATGTTATTAGGTCATTAGTAGCTACAATTTGTATCTCTCGGAATTTTGATATCGGTGACCTAAGGTCAGGTCAATTTCGCGACCCTCCCCATTATAAGTCAATGGGGGAAAAATCAACTCCCTGTTTTTACCACTAAAACGGGTCGGAATGGCCCCATATACCATACATGACTTCATATACGATCAACCTTCACTACCTTGAGGTCTGTTTTGCTGTTGGGCAGCTGTGAGGTCATGTGACGTCATCAAAGGTCACCAAAGCTTTTTGGCCAATAACTCCGTGCAGGAACAAGATACAGACGCGTGGATGGTCTCATTGTGTTCAGCTCGTCAAGACGCATCGAATGATATACATGATGACCTCGAGGTCACGTGACCTGAGGTCAACCTTTGACCTTGACCTTTCGAGGTCAACATATATATCATTCGATGCGGATTGACGAGAGGATCACGATGATGCCCTTAGTTTGTTCCTATCTTGACTAATTCGAAAGTTATTCGAGAAAAACTCTCTCCATATTTAGCGCCGCCATTTTGACTTTTTCGACCCCTGTGACGTCATCTTTGACCTGACCTGAAAATGACCTTTGTAAAAATTGTAGATCTTGACCGTGCGTATCCGATGCCCTTTACCGCTTGTCGCTATCTTGCTTCGTTCTCGAGATCTCAGGGGGGGCGGTCATCCGCCCCCCCCCCCCCCGTCGGTACTAAGTTGGCGCAGACCCCCGTCGGTGCGCGGGTTAAGTTATAGAAAAGGTTGTAGTAGAAAAAAATTAAAGTAATAGTAAAAAACAGCTATAGTGACCTTTCACGACCTGAGATCAGGGATCAGGGGCACACAGAGGGGTCACGGGTGCATTTTTTCCGATTCAGTGTGTCATGTTTAACTCTTAACTGTTGGTTGAGAGTGTTTAGAACGAAATTCGTCCAAAAGAGGCGCATTTCAATTTTCTCCCATTGACTTATCATGAGAGGTCGCCAAATTGACCAGGCCTTATGGTCAGAAATAAACAATTCCGAGATATACATTTTATACACATTACACACTGTTACTCGTATCAATCGCTGAAAGTTTCAAACCGATTTTTCAGTCGGTGTAGCTACAATGAGCCTGTGAACTTTTTCTTAGATAAGGTCACTTGACGTGACCTGGTGACTTGACCTTTAGCGACCCGGGTCTAAAATTCTTACATGTGCGAAAAAGATGCATGAATATAAAAACTGAAAAAGAAAACGGATGAATTGATGAAGAAATGAATGAACAAATTAGTAATAAAATTGATAGAGCGCATACTGCATGATTTAGAATCGTACCTAACTACATAGATAACGAGCGATTAAATGAGCTCTTGACAAGAATCAATAGCTTACAAATGTAAAGACATGATGAATGCATTGGCGAGTTGCACTGCCAGCCGCTTACATGATGGATTGTCAAATTTATTGTGCCAATTTGGTAGCATCAGGTCAGACTTCCTCTCCCTCCCTCCCTCTCTCTCTCTCTCTCTCTCTCTCTCTCTCTCTCTCTCTCCGTCTCTCTCCCTCCCTCATCATCCCTCCTCCATCCCAGTGCGTCCTCTCACTCTATATAACCACCTGCCTTCCCTCTCTCTCTCACCATTTCTGCTCGGTGCGCGTCGCTTGGTGAATGGAAGACGACGCTTCAGTGGAACTCTTGGAAAAAGTACAGTGTTGCGGGAGTTCAAGTGGAGTGAGGACTGATTGCAAATATGGTCAACAGAGCAGTGGTAAGTGTTTATGAGACGAGAGAGAGGAAATATGCTATATGCAATCAGTAATGACCATTGGATGTTGTGTTGAAGCTAGATGTGGTATTATTTTTTTCGGATGCTTCGTCTTGAGTAGAACTAATTATCTTTTTCAGGTTTCTTTGAATGAATGATGCAAGTAAACCACACGCTGAACTTATTGTTTATATTGCATACAAGTGTTTCCAAAAGTGATCATAGTGCAGCTATGGAACTTGGAAGCACTTTAACAACATTTTATGAATTAACAAAAGTATTCAAGTTCTTATTTCCTAAGCAATCCAAGCATTTATTTTACTTTACCAGTGCCCAGTATTGCCGCTACTTTTAATTGTATCCGGTCCATCACAGCTTTCTGTGATTACACAGTTGCCTGCTTTTATATTACTATTCTATTTGTTATATACTAATCTAAGCGTCCCTTTTTCTCTCCGCAGCTGCTGCTGGCTGTGCTGCTATCGGCCGCTGCGGCACAGCGGTATACCCCACCGGAAGTAGCTTCAGCGGCTGCAGAGGAGGCCCCAGCTGCCGACACGCTGCCAGCAGCTGCTGACGAAGCCGCAGAAGTGGTTGTAGAACCAGCTGAACCGGCAGGAGAGGATGCGGAGGGAGTAACGACAGAAGAGGAAGAGATAGAAGTTGAGATGATAGCTGATGAGCCCACCGATGAGTCTACAGAAATGTCAGCATCAAAGTCTGAGGCTGAGTCAGACTCAGACTCAGACTCAGACTCAGAGTCCAGCGCCGCAGCTGAGTCGCCTTCTGAATCCCCGGAAGCGACTGGATCCTCATCCGATCCTACTAGTCCTCCTACCTACCCCGTTCCTTCGTCCAGCGGCATTCCAGCATGTTCATCGAACACCACCAAACCCTGGTGTCTAGAAGACTCTGACTATCCTGCTGAGATGATCCGTCTCGCTATTGCCTACCACCACTATGCAGTGTTATCGCTCTATCAAGACGTAGTGGCTGATACTGAGAATTCAGTGGACAGGTTAACGAAACTGGAGGAGGAAAGCTACGTCTGCAGCAGCGCAGTTAGTTACGTACAACCACTTAGAGCGGTGAATACGGATGGAGATTGGAGGACGATCGTCAATGGAATTAAGGTGAGACAAAATGAGTTTAAACTTTGGGAAAAAGGTGAAAAACTTCAACTAATTGTGAAAATTATAGTAGCGTTCATTCCATTATTTTATGAAGTCTTTACGCATTGAGGAAGCGTTATTATAACTATAGATATTTAAAAATTATAGAATTATTAATTACTATTATATTATAGTAATTATAGTTTGCAAAAGTGGTTTTGCTATGGATAAGTGTGAATAAGAACCATGCTTGTCAATTTATCAACAATGATTAAGTTGTTAGTTGTTCAAATTCAACCAAAACATAAGTGAATTGTATCATGCAAAAAAGCAAAAAAGCTAGTCGTATAAAAAAGCTATAGTCAACCAAAACAAGTAAAAAAGCTAGTCGCACGAATATTACCAAATGTCTCGGAATGAATATTGTCCAGTGTGCACCTCCCCAATATATATCGACAGTTCCGAGCAAAAACATCCTAACGGTGTCAAGTTTTTCGAAGTTGAGATTCTTATACCATTCGACTCAGCTCGACAAGCTGAGTCGAATGGTATAAAAATCTCAATTTCGAAAAATTTGACACTAAGGATGTTCTTGCTCGGAACTGTCGATATATATTTTTTATCAAATCTATAGTTCATCAACTAACCACCTGATGTCTCCACAGGTACACTACGACACCTTCACCCAAACCGTGCGTCTCGAGGAGTGTCAATCACCCGGGGAACCCTGCCCATTGGTTCCCGCGTGCTACGAGTCCGCCTGTCTGCAAAAATCCACCGTTCAGCGTATGTTGGTGTACGATCCCAGCGATTATTATCAGCCGTTCGCGATGGACACCTTCCGACTGCCTTCTGCTTGCGCATGCGCACTGGGTGCGTACGAGATCAGCCATTAGGCGGGCGGTTTGAAATGCGAGGTGATGTATCGGACAATGCATAGAAAGCTGAGAGGACAGAAAAAGTTGTACCTAGGTGATGGCAGAGTGTGTCCCTCGTAAAAACGACAATATGTCAATTTCATGCTGATGCTTGCACCTTCGCCAAATTAAGAAAAAAAAAACTTCTCTTAATTGGGTGGACGAGTGAAACTCAATTCGCGTTAGCCATTAACCTAACAATGGCTTAGATAGCCTGCATAGAACTTAGTTAATTAGCTATCGACAACCATACAAAATGATGATTCATGCCTTTACACATAGTTTGTTCCTACAATGTATTTATGCCTACAAACGTGCGAAGTTCGTTACACGTGTGACGTCATAAGCAGCACGGCGGCAGTCTCTGGGGGGAGATGACGTCATATTCCGACGTCACTGCATGGCCAGCGCTTACAATACGAGCTATAGCACGAATCATAGAAGGTTATGTGCAAATGCAAAATGATCATAGTGATTTCTGTTCAATGTTAGATCGGTTTCGGTGTTAGAAGGATTGTCTTTCATGTTTTCTAGGATAATTAGTAGTCGATTAGGACAATGTCTCAGGTCGTGTTACATCTACAAATGTCTCACGGTAATGATTACCTATGTCTCAGGTGGTTACAAGGATGTTGTGGTATCACATGAATGTTTATGCATTGGTTAAATAAAGTCCTTTGCATACCTACATGTGGCGTTTATAAAAAAAACTAAAAATGCTTTTGATACTTTCAGTTATATGAGGATGATCAACTTCTCAAATGTGAACAAAAAGGGTCAAACTTTCGTAGTGCAAGCTTACTGACCTCTTTCTGCTCATTCCGTTCAAAACTTACATAATTACAGAAAATATACCGAACGTTTTCCTGCTACCTCAAGTCAACATAACGTGCATGACTTCTTAATTTAACCCGCGACCTGGTGGGGGGGGCTATTTTTGCCCCCCCTCCAGACTTTTCCATATATCTCCAGAACCGCTGCGCCGATCGTCACCAAACTTTCAGTACCCTCCCGGACATCAATTTTACACATTGTGACCAAAAAATTTTCCAAAGGCTATGATAGGTTGGCCGGAAATGACGTCAGAGTGACGTCATGTTCTGCCGTTTTCGACCCAAAAAAGGGTTTCGCGGGAAGAGCTGTCAGGCCTATAGCTTTGCAAATACAGAAAAATGATAAAGACATAAAAGCTGTGGATTGGACAGGGCTACAAAACAGCTGTCTCGGATTTTTGAAATTTTTGGATTTTGACCCCCAAAAATAAAAAAAAATAGATTTTTTGGATATAATAATAGAAAAATCCAAAACATTTTTGAATTTCGCAAAAACTGGAATATATGTGATTGGCCTTACCGCCTTCCATCCACATACCAAATTTTAAATTGATACCTCTTTTTTTTGGCGAAGTTATAGCGAAAAAACTGTTCAAAATTGATGACGTCAAATTTTCAAACTCAATTTGTAGCAATTCTAGACCCCGTAGCGCAAAACAAAGACCACCATTAGACTCCCCCTGACGAGCTGCACCGAATCAATACCCATTTTCTGCAAAACTATCAACTTTAAAATTTGACCTTTTTGGCCTGACCTTGACCTGACCTTGACCTGAACTTCACCAGAAAGTGACCTAAGCCGTACCTGATAGTCTTATAACCAACACCATTGAGTTGGAAATGAAAAATTGGCCATAAAACATGTATCACACAACCTTAGTAAAGTTGGGCTCATGTGACCTGACCTGTGACCCTTGCTGACCTCACCTGTGACCTGACCTGGTATTGCCAGTGACCTCTAATAGCAACATATCTACTAGGCAACTGACGCCCTATCGCTGATTCTTGACAAAATGCGTTTTCCTCGGTGTTATAGCGCATTCCCTAGAAGACCCGTGAACGGTGAAACCTTTCATCTTTGACCTGACCTGTGACGTCATCGGTGACCCCGAGGTCAATGAAATTTAATTTCCTTCGACAAATTTGACAGGCCTTTCGAACGCCGTTTGAATTTTGCGGATCCGTCCAGTAGTTTCGGAGATACGAGGGGGGGCAAAAAATAGCCCCCCCCCCACACCAGGTCGCGTTATAAACAGACCCCACCAGGGCGCGGGTTAACACCACTAACAAAAAACGTCTACCTAAGTATTAGTAATACTAGATGCCGGCAGCGCTCTTGCGTTGCCTTGGGCCAGAATTGGAGGAACGGTACTGAGGGCACACACCGGGCAAAACCACCGAAACCCAGACTGAGCTTGGACTGAACCTGAAACCAACCGAAACATCCCAAAAAATGCTTGAAGCACGCGAGATTGGTGTGGATATCTATCTACAGTAAGATATGAATTAACTGCACGTGCATAGTTCATGTTCCAGGCACCCCAGTGCAGTCATTTTCATGACACCCTGTAGCGTGTGTCTAGCTCTATCAGTGTACTGACTTTTGTGTCGCTAGCTCGACGTTTCCTGGGATCAGAGGATCCCTCGTCAAAACCGTTATCCGCCCCCCGCACGCGCAGCTTGCACCCCTCGGATATTATCTCGCCGGAATGTCATGACTCAATGTATTCTTCTTATGACCTGCAAGTTTTGAACCAGTTAGAGCTGCCGTTTACCCTGCAGGCATGGCAACGTACGAAGGGGTGCAATCGGCTTGCACGTGCATAGCTCATGCACCACATAGTTTATTTCAACCAAATGTGCATTTTTTTGGAGGCCTTGCCTGGGACTACCATTGAACCGATTTTGAGGTTGATGGCTCAAAATTTCTTTGTGCCAGAGGACCTCACGTCAAAACGGTTTTCCGCCCCCAGCACGTGCAGCCTGCACCCCTCGCAGACGGTGACCCCCCTGGAAACTGGTTCAAGGTGTTACCGATGTGTCCCGCCAGTGTGGCTTTGTCCGTGCCCTCGGGTTGACCTGAAGCCTTGACAAAAAAAAATCGTGTCACCGAAACTTTGAAGCGGAATAGCGTGTGCCACGAATCACTGAGCGAACCGAGGCCAGCACCAAAAGTTTACCTCGCCGGAGACGAATCAAACGGTCCCACTTTCGTCTCGATCGGTCCACCCATTTTGACTCCAGGTCCAAAAAAGCTTGGACAAACTCACTCACATACTGACAAACAGGCTCGGGCGGGCTCGGGCCGAACTTTTTTTCAGCGACCCACCAATGGGAATTTCCGGATGCAAAAGCATGCTATCGCATGCTTTTGATCCTCCAATTCTGGATAATAGAGTATACCCAGATGGTGGCTGTATTATTGCGAACGTAACAGTAAACCCACTAGCAGATCTCCTAACACCTGCATAACAATCACGCGATAAAAACACACCACCAGTACTCTCAGCCCACGTCGGTGTAAAGTTGAAAAGCTCAGTAACATTCCACAATAACGTGATGCAATCGGCGCACCACCGAATCCACTGACCCATCGAACCACCTCCACCCCCCCCCCCCCAGAGGTCGGACCCCACGCGCTCCGTTATCTATTCTATCAGACGTCTGAGGCTAGGTGCGTTGGAGACGCTCACTCGGCGACTGGTGATCGTCGTGGTCACATCTCTTCGACTTCTCGTCTTTTCCTTTATCATCAGAGAGACCTTTGGTGGTCTCGGTTGGAGCTCTGGTGATCTTCTAAGAATCCCAGGAAGCTCTGGTGATCCTGGTGACCCGTGGTGACCCAGGTGACCCGAGTGACATCCTGAGGACCTCTGGTGACCTTGGTGACCTTTCGGTAGCCTCTGGTAACCTCAGACGAACCCCGGTAACATTCAGTTACCTCTAATGACCTCTTGTAATCCTTGTATCCTTCAGTAACCTTCATCAACCCTGACCTTTCACTGACCCCAGTGACCTTTCCGTGACCCCTTGACCCTTCCTAACCCCACCATGGCGTCTGTTCGACCCAAGACAGTGCCGGAGCCCGAGTCACCCTATCCAACATTTGCTGCTGGTACTATGAAGAAGTACTACTCGTTTTTGGATAACGTATGGAGCAAGCTGCCTGCCTGGGCAGGACCGAGTGTGGCTTCAGCACTGGTTCTGCTCATGGGACTGACTATCAGAGGTTAGTTGGATGGGTACTCAGAGGTCAAAGATGGGGTATGTTAGAGGTCAAAGTTGGGTTTGTCAGAGGTCAAAGTTGGGTTTGTCGGAGGTCAAGGTTGGGTATATGTTTAGGGTCAAAGAGGAGGGAGGGGGTGTCAGTCAGATGTTATTTTGATACGTCAGACGTTGTTAAGGTGATGGTCGGTATGCCAAAGGTTAAAGAAAGAAATGTCAGAGTTCAATTAAGGGTTTCTTATGGGTTGATGGAAAGGTCAGATGTCTGGAAAGCCGATCGGAGGTCATTGTGAATTTGTGATAGAGCTGAAACTTCATCAATTGCGATTGAGGGTTTTAATGTGGCCTGATTAAATACAACAAACCACAGCGTGTGTGTGTGAGGAGTATGCATCGAATGTTTATGCCTTTGTCTTGGGTAAAAGGTAAACAGCAAGGGCTAGACAAAGGCATACAGAGAGCAGTGAGAGAAGAGGAAACCAGCTAACGGGCGAAATCGCTACAAATTTAATTTCAAAATGCGTGCGTATAACCCGCGCACCGACGGGGGTCTGCGCCAACTTCGTACCGACGGGGGGGGGCGGATGACCGCCCCCCCCCCCGAGATCTCGAGAACGAAGCAAGATAGCGGCAAGCAGTAAACGGCATCGGATACGCACGGACAAGTTCTACAATTTTTACCAAGGTCATTTTCAGGTCAGGTCAAAGATGACGTCACAGGGGTCAAAAAAGTAAAAATGGCGGCGCTACATTTGGCGAATGTTTTTCTCGAATAACTTTCGAATTAGTCAAGATAGGAACAAACTAAGGGCATCATCGTGATCCTCTCGTCAATCCGCATCGAATGATATAAATGTTGACCTCAAAGGGCAAGGTCAAAGGTTGACCTCAGGTCACGTGACCTCGAGGTCATCATGTATATCATTCGATGCGTCTTGACGAGCTGAACACAATGAGACCATCCACGCGGTTGTATCTTGTTCCTGTACGGAGTTATTGGCAAAAACCGCTGGTGACCTTTGATGACGTCACATGACCTTACAGCTGCCCAACAGCAAAACAGACCTCAAGGTAGTGAAGGTTGATCGTATATGAAGTCATGTATGGTATATGGGGCCATTCCGACTCGTTTTAGTGGTAAAAACAGGGAGTTGATTTTTCCCCCATTGACTTATAATGGGGAGGTCGAGAAATTGACCTGACCTTAGGTCACCGATATCGGAATTCCGAGATATACAAATTGTAGCTACTAATGACCTAATAACATCCTGCGACCCTGCGACTTTCAAAGGCCTCCGACATCTACTGTAGCTCTGGCACGGTGACAAAGTTGCAAAAAAGTGACTTGAGGTTGGGTCATTCAAAGTGACCTGGTGACCTGACCTTGAAAGTTAGGAGGTTCACACTTGCGCACCATGTGTAAAATTGATGAGAAAATAGTCGTACCAAATTTCGCGCCGCGGTTTTCCCGCTATTTGCGAAAAACCTCAGGGGGGAGCGGATATCCGCCCCCCCCCCCCCCGTCGGTGCGCGTGATAAGGACACAGTACAATTTCATCGTATCTTTATGATACATTTCCCTCAAATAACCCCACCCCTTTCCCTCCACAGCTGAATGGCTGATGATTCTGGTCCACTTCCTCAAATGGACCAGCCCTGGGAACGGCACCGTCACCTCAGCTGCCGCCGCCGCTGCTGGAAGCATCACCTTCGACGAGTGGCTGAACGTCAGATTTGCCGGCTTCACTAACGTGTGGCTGATCGCATCCTTTGTGGGATACGCCATCTACTTTGGCGTCGGAGGATTCCTGCACGTGAGTTTGGGGTATTTTTTACGATCATGATTGTAATCAAGATATGGTTTAAGTAAAAGAGCCTGTTGTGTCATGTTATGAAAATACCTGATCTGAAATGCTACAAGTGCTACATGAAAAGCTACATGCTTATGTCATATACGATACCAGTCGTTATCTCAATTGGAGATTCGTACAGAGGCATATTTGGTACATTTGCATACTCTGTTATGTCTGTTATACTCTGTATATACTCTGTTAACCTTACATGCAGGACATGCTCGTCTTTAGATCTGAGTTGACGTTTAATGGTGACCTAACCTTTTCAGTTGTGAGATGTTATAATCGGATATCTCCCGCATGAAGTCACCCGTATATGCTTTCTTTACTTTCTCCTGGTGAAAGCCACTCATGCATACTTTGCATTTAGTTTATCTCGAGCCGTGACTTTTCAAGAAGTAAATTGATTCCTGTGTTCGTGAAAAAGAAAGAGAGTGATCTTCTTGCATCCACTGTTTGCAGACATCCCGACATGGCGCGGTCGGTATTATCAGGGGGTGTCGAAGTCTAGTAGGAAAATCTGGCAAATTCCCTGCGTGACGTCACGTCGGGACTGACCGACGGCACCTTGCACTGAAAGATACGGCAGAACGGCTATTTTTGAAAAATGATTAAAAATACTTTTGTGCTGTTTTGACACATAAAACGCTTATCAGCATGTTCCTCATCATGTGATAAAGCCATATCCGTGGTCGAAAATAGCTGAGCCCCTCCCAATTTCCAACCACCGACCTCATAAGCAAAGGATGTAAGCGTAATCCTTAAGGGTGACTTTCCAATACATAATCGTACATATGCGTCCTTATGGAAATCGGAAGTGTGGCGATTGGCGACGCGCGCGACATCTGTGTGGCGACCAAGTGGCGACTGTGGCGACACCTGGTGGCTGCTTTTCTGCTGTATGTAGGCATAGGGGTTTTGCCAGTTATGGTTCCTACTGCTACACAACTATGTTGACCCAATACTAGAAAGTTATTTTGCCAGTAAAAGGCAAGCAAATTGAAAGTCAATTTATAAAATTGCTTATTTATGATAACGAGAAAATAATAAAGAAGTTTTGATTGAATATTTATTAAAATATCCAACCGTGAAACTATTCTGGTAGGTTTAGTAGAAATTAGTCCGTGCAACCTTGTATTTAGGGCCTTGGGTATTATAAGCTTTTGACATTTGGTGCTGCCTAGCGGAATTCCTGCGTCAGAGTTTCGCAACCACTGCATTCAACAATGAGGCCACCCCGCTGCCGGCCATGAATTGAAAGGGCCGCCTCACACCATCCACTTGCTGCCCGGTGCTGTGCCATACGCCCGGCACACACCCATCCCAATCAGTAAACACTGGGAGGACGAGGTGAAGGCCCAACTGGACGAGGATGTGAGGAGGGGAGTCATCGAGAAGGTGCCGGCTGGCGATCCTGCGGTCTGGTGCGCGCCGATGGTAGTGGTGGCGAAGGCTAACGGACGACCGAGGCGAACAGTAGACTTTCAGGAGCTGAATAAGTTCTGTCGCCGTGAAACCCACCACACAAGGCCGCCTTTTGATATGGTCTCTTCAGTGCCCAACCACACCTACAAGACCACGCTCGACGCATTCTGGGGCTTCCACCAAGTCCCCCTAGCGGAGGAGAGCCGGCCGCTGACCACTTTTATTACACCGTGGGGCCGGTACAGATACTTGCGGACTCCGATGGGCCACATATCAGCCTCCGATGCCTACACCAAGCGGTACGATGACGCAGAAGTCGACATCCCAAGGAAATTTAAATGTGTGGACGATGTACTTCTGCATGACAAGAGCATCGAGGGCGCCTTCTGGCACTGCTGGGATTACCTGACCCGGTGCGCTGAGGCTGGTGTCACACTGTCACCGGAGAAGTTCCGCTTCTGTCGGAAGGAGGTTGAGTTTGTCGGCTTTCAGCTCAACTGGGAGAGCTACCACCCAGCGAACGACAAGCTGTCGGCGATCGCCAACTTCCCGATGCCGAACCAGCCGACTATTACCGACATCCGATCATTCCACGGTCTGGTAAATCAGCTGGCTCCATTCGTCGCCACCAGCCCGCTGATGGAGCCATTCCGGGAGCTGCTCAAACGCTCCTCATCCAAGAAGGTCTACTGGGACGAGGAGCTGCAGCACAAGTTTGAGGAAGTCAAGCGAGTCTTAACCAAACTCGTCCAGAGAGGGCTGCGGTACTACGACAAGGACCGGCCCACAGTGTTGTTAACAGACTGGAGCAGGAATGGCATGGGTTTTGTCGTAATGCAGCAGTACTGTTCTTGCTCTGGGACGGACACGCCGTTCTGCTGTAAAGACGGCTGGAGATTAGCGCTATGCGGCAGCAGACACGCCACGACAGCCGAGCAGAATTACGCTGCTGTGGAAGGCGAGGCAACCGCCGTGGTATGGGCGCTCCAGAAGGCCAGGCTCTTCCTCCTCGGATGTCAGCAGCTTGAGATAATCACCGACCACCGGCCTCTGGTGAAGCTATTCTCCGACAGAGCCCTGAAGGACATTGCGAATCCTCGTCTTCTCCGCCTGAAGGAGAAGACACTGCTCTTCAGATTCCACATCAGGTATCGCCCAGGAGGGACTAACCAGGCTGCTGACACGCTCTCACGTTACCCGGTGGAGAGGCTGAACCCCACCAGGGCTGACCTACATCTGGAGCATGAGCTGCACGTGGCAGCGCTGACCGCAGTGGCGCAATGTGATGAGGCACTCACAATCGATCACGAGACGGTCCGGCAGGTTGCTGAGGAAGATGACGGCTACTTGCAATTGAGACAGCGAGTGCAGACGGGAAACTGGCCGGCTAGCCCGACTCAGGAAGCCGGAGAGATGAAGACATTTCACAAAGTTAGAGATAGATTGAGCATAGCAGACGGATTGATCTGTTACTCATTCGAAGACGGCCCACTCCGACTGGTGATACCCGTGTCTCTCCGCAAACAGGTGGCCCGGAACTTGCACGCAGCCCACCAAGGTGCTGACAGTATGCTGCGGCGCGCCAGAGCCTCGGTCTATTGGCCCGGCTTCGAGGCGGATATTCATCGCAGCAGAGCCCACTGCACTGAGTGCGACCGACATGCACCGTCTCAGGCCAGCGAGCCCTTGATCATGACACCGCCGCCGGACTACCCGTTCCAGCGCGTGGTCGCCGATCTGTTCGAGATCCGGGGGAACCACTACCTAGTCTACGCAGACCGACTCACTGGCTGGATCAAGCTTGATTTCCTCTGCACCACGACGACCAGGCAACTCGTCACGCTGCTCAGACGCTATTTCCATGAGAGTGGAGTCCCCGAGGAGCTCTCTGTGGACGGCGGAGCCAGCCTAGTGAGCGCTGATATGCGCTCCTTCCTAGCTCGATGGGGAGTAGCCATTCGTCAGTCGTCCACTGGTTACCCACAGTCCAACGGCAGGGCGGAGGCGGCGGTGAAATCAGCCAAGACTATCCTTCGGGACAACATGTCAGCGCGTGGTACTGTGGACACGGATGCGGCTGTGGCAGCGCTTATCCAGTACCACAACACGCCTCTTCGAGACGGTAACAAGTCGCCGGCCCAGCTCCTGATGGGTCGTCAGTTGCGAGGAGGCGTGCCCGTGGCCAAGGTACACCTGCAGGTCGCCGAGCACTGGACCGATTACCTGGCTGAGAGGGAGGAGAGGATGGCAGAGCGGATCACGCGCGCGGCTCAGTCAGTCATGCCGGCGCTCCCTCGTCTCCAGGCCGGCCAAGCAGTCCGTGTACAGGATGAGAGGACGAGACGTTGGGAACGGACAGGGGTCATCGTGGCGACTAAACACAGCATCCGCCAGTACACTGTGAGGCTAGATGGATCTGGGCGCCTTGTCCTTCGAAACCGCAAGTCGTTGAAGCCTATCAACGTCACACTCACGGCTGACGCCAGTGCACGTCCCGCCAATGTGGAAGAAATGACGACGCTGCGTCGCTCCGAGCGCCTGAAAGCAGCCAACATGGACAAGCTTGCTCGTGACAGTGTTGAGCGCTCAGCCAAGCGGCAGCGGAGCAATATGGGTGGTCTTAGGGGGGAGATGTGAGATGTTATAATCGGATATCTCCCGCATGAAGTCACCCGTATATGCTTTCTTTACTTTCTCCTGGTGAAAGCCACTCATGCATACTTTGCATTTAGTTTATCTCGAGCCGTGACTTTTCAAGAAGTAAATTGATTCCTGTGTTCGTGAAAAAGAAAGAGAGTGATCTTCTTGCATCCACTGTTTGCAGACATCCCGACATCAGTGATAACGTTTAACTGCTGATAAGATATGCAAAGTGAATGTCTAATCAGTTGGGACAAATTTGACCGCTCTGCATGCCGTCGTTTTTACGGATGAAATCTATAGAAACCTAGGAAGCCCGTGAGACGAAACATCAAACCGTCCTTAACGATAACTCCGGAAATGTCAAGGTGCATAGGAATACCTCTCCAAATCCTCCCTCAATTCTTTTCCGCTCAAAAACTTTAAGCTAACAAATTATTTTTGGGGGGATCGCATATCAATCATTCGCCATCCCTCCAAACAAAAACGAAAAAACAAACACAAAATCACGGATCAATCGGCAAAAGCGTGTTTTGTGCACACGTTAGCAAGCTAACTAGCCATAAGTACCGCGCGCTAATAACACACGTGGGTGGTGTTCAAACTTCAAGTACACCTCTGAGGAGCGTATTCTCAGCGACCCCTGTTTGTCACACTATCACAGCGCCCAGTCACCCAGGTGTGTAGGTATTAGAGATGTCAATCGGATACCAACTTTTTTGTATACCGATACCAAACCGATACCAACTTGGTATTTGGTATTTCAAGGCGAGTGCATTTGGTATTTTGTTGGTATAATGAATCTTCACTAATGTAAAAGAGTGTAAATTTGGTAAAACTTGGTATTTTCCTCATATTCCCCAGTCGGTTTGGTTTTGGTATTTTTCTATGGGTAT